TGCACAGACCAGTAACACACACCCGCCTTCCAGCACTGTAGAAAGGATACCGGGAGGGAAGACACAGCCTCCAGCACTGTAGAGAGGGTACCAGGAGGGGGGCATAGCCCCCAGCACTGTAGAGAGGGTACCAGGAGGGAGGCACAGCCCCCAGCACTGTAGAGAGGGTACCAGGAGGGAGGCACAGCCCCCAGCACTGTAGAGAGGGTACCAGGAGGGAGGCACAGCCCCCAGCACTGTAGAGAGGGTACCAGGAGGGAGGCACAGCCCCAGCACAGTAGAGAGGGTACCAGGAGTGGAAGGCACAGCCCCCAGCACTGTAGAGAGGGTACCAGGAGGGGGGCACAGCCCCCAGCACAGTAGAGAGGGTACCGGGGGGGCACAGCCCCAGCACAGTAGAGAGGGTACCAGGAGGGAGGCACAGCCCCAGCACTGTAGAGAGGGTACCAGGAGGGGGGCACAGCCCCCAGCACTGTAGAGAGGGTACCAGGAGGGGGGGCACAGCCCCCAGCATGTAGAGAGGGTACCAGGAGGGAGGCACAGCCCCAGCACAGTAGAGCGGGTACCGGGGGGCACAGCCCAGCACAGTGGCTCCATGGTGGCTGTGCTCACAGGCCTCACTGAGGCACTCACTGCGGGTGCAGGGGTCTCCCTGGAAGTTGTAGAGTTCCCTCCCGTGAGGACGTTGAGAAGGATGGATTGTACCTGTCAAATGCACTAGTTACTGCTTCTCTCTTAAGATCTTAAATGAAAATTGTCAAACCTATAAAAACTGGAAAGAACAATGCAGAGAGGCCAGTGTCGTGGCACAGCAGGTTAAGACACCGCTTGAGACGCCGGCATCCTGCACCAGAGTGCCGACTGGAGTCCCAGCTGCTATGCTTCTGATCCGGTTTCCTGCCAAGGTGTCAGGGAGGGCAGTAGGTAACGGCCCAAGTACAGGCCCTACCATTCCATATGGGAGGTTCGGGTGGGGTTCTTGGCTCCTGGCTTTGACCTGGCCCAGAACTGGCTGTAAAGGCCATTTAGGGAGTGAACTAGCAGATGGAAAGTCTGTCTGACTGTCCCTCTTTGTCATTCTGCCCTTCAAATAAATAAATCTTAAATAATAATTGTTTAAAAAAAGCAACAGTGCAAAAAGCCATCTATGTACCCCTCACCTAGATTTAACCACTCTGAACACTTGCTGCACCATCTCCGTATCTCATTATATCAAGCACTTCTCGTTTACCCAGCCACTGGGAAGTTGTCTGCAGATTCCTGGTGGCCTAGAGCAAGGGTGTTCTCTGACACTGTCACACTGCTACCATGCTTAAGAAAGTTCTGGGCTCAGCGTCATGGTGCAGCAGGTTGGGCCACTGTTTGCTACGTGGGCACCCATATCAGAGTGCAGGTTCGAGTCCTGGCTGCTCCCCTTCCGATCCAGCTCCCTTCTGATGGGCCTGGGAAAGCAGTGGAAGATGGCCCAAGTCCTTGGGCGCTGGCCACCTGTGTGGGAGGGAGACCCAGATAGAGTTCTGGGCTTCTGACTTTGGCCTGGCCTAGCCCACTGGGGAGTGAACCAGCAGACGGAAGATTGTTCTCTGTCTCTCTGTCACTCTGCCTTTCAAATAGATCTTAAAAAAAAAGAAAGTCAGTATTAACCTGATAATAGTATTCAAGGAACAGTCTATATTCAATTCTTGAAGTGTCAGTAACATGTAAAATTTGAGCCATTCGATGAATTTAAGGTGGACCAGATCACCTGTGGGGTTCCTCCTGGAGCTGAAGGCTTCCAGCAAGTGAAGGACACCACCCAGTTGAGTGTAGCTCTCACGTGAGCTGTTGAAGTGAGTGGTGCCATGTAACTCCTTCGTGTGAGCTTCCCGGAGCCGGTGAGGATGAGGTGGTTGCCTGCACTGTGCGGGGCAGTCAGCTGGCAGTGATGACGGATGCTTTAGGCATTGCTGCCTTTACCTGGCTAATTCACACAGGTGTGTTCTGGCAGTGAAATGGGGGGCCAAAAGGTGCACCCCAGGTTCTTCCATCTGCCGGTTCAGATTCACATGGTCACAACAGCTCTGTCTGGACCAGGCTGAGCCAGAGCCCGGAACTCTTAGGGCCTCCCACGCGGGTGGACCATCATCTGCTGCATCCTCAGGACCTTTAGCTGGCTCTCGCGTTGAATTCAGAGTTCCTTTAATGTCCACAAGCCAAGGGAGGCTGAGAGTGCCGACTCTGGGGTTCTCTCTGCCTCACTGCACCGCACCGCGCCTCATCGCCGCAGTTTCTCATTCTGCAGCCATCCCGTGTCCTGGGCTCCTCTCACAGTTGCAGTTAAGAAGAGGGGCCTCGGGGCCAGTGCTGTGACACCCTGGCCTGGAGTGCCAGCATCCCGTATGGGTGCCGGTTCTAATCCAGCTCTCTGCTGTGGCCTGGGATAGCAGTAGAAGATGGCCCAAGTGCTTGGACCCCTGCACCCGCGTGGGAGATCTGGAGGAGGCTCTTGGCTTCAGATCGGTGCAGCTCCGACCATTGCGGCCAATTGGGGAGTGAACCATCAGATGAGAGATCTCTCTCTCTCTCTCTCTCTCTCTCTGCCTCTCCTCTCTCTGTGTAACTCAGACTTTCAAATAAATAAATCAATCAATCTTTGGGCCGGCGCCATGGCTCACTTGGCTAATCCTCCGCCTTTGGCGCCGGAATCCCACATGGGCGCCGGGTTCTAGTCCGGGTTGCTCCTCTTCCAGTCCAGCTCTCTGCTGTGGCCCGGGAGTGCAGTGGAGGATGGCCCAAGTGCTTGGGCCCTGCACCTGCATGGGAGACCAGGAGGAAGCACCTGGCTCCTGGCTTCGGATCAGCATAGCTCCGGCCGTAGCGGCCATTTGGGGGGTGAACCAACGGAAGGAAGACCTTTCTCTCTGTCTCTCTCTCTCACTGTCTGTAACTCTACCTGTCAAATAAATAAATTTAAAAATAAATAAACCTTTAAAAAATTTTTATAAAAAAAAAGAGGAGGGGCCTGTTGCCTTTCCCTTTTCTCCCCGTCTGCCTCCATCTCGCTCATCTCTCTCTCAAAGTCCCTCTTTGTGATGTGGCAGCTGGGCTCTGTACATGTTCTCCTTTGCCAGCTGGCTCCATGCTGGGCTCTGTTGAGGTAGAGGTGCTGAGGGGCACCGTAGGGCCTTGGAGGAGGCGGCTTCTTTTCCCATTTCTGTGCGGATTTTCAGTGAGGGGTGGTTTCCAGGGGCAGGCTACCAGATGCCTGGTCACACCCAGCAGCCCTCACAGACTGCCCAGTAGGCAGCGCTGTGGCCCAACTCCCACCCTTTACGTCCCCAGCAGATTGCTCCACCACGTGGCATCGCTCCTGTGGACCAGTGCCAGATCATGTCCTCCAGCCAAGTGACCGTGTTCCAGTGGAGCACGTGGCTTACGCATGCGTGGAGGCTCGGCTGGCGTGTCCGTCCACTCCGCTGGGGACACCATCTGTACTACTATGTCTGTCTCGTAAGACTCAGTCCTCCCTGACCCCGTCTTGCGTGTACCTGCGGGTTTTCATGTATGGAGGTGACAGCAAGGAGAGGCTAATGCCAGTGGAAGAAGGTTTTTATCGCTTACATGCCACACCACACCACGCCACGCCACGCAGGGCCACGTGGGAAGCATCAGGTGTAGTCAGGAGCAGAAAGGAGTGAGGGGAAAGCCTAGAGCCTGTACGGAGCTCCAGGGGGAATGGCAGGGCTGGAGGACTGGCGGCTGTGGGTAATCCCCTACCTTCCCCGGCCCCCACCGCCGCCCTGCAGAATGGCGGCTGTCACTGGTTGTCTGCTACCTGGTGCTGGGTGACTGAGTTGTTAGTTTTGCCCTGTGGCTAAGGAAATGGCAGAGTCTAGGGAAAGAAACAGGCTGGCATTGTGTAGCAGGTAAAGCCACCACCTGTGATGCCTGCATCCCATATGGGCACTGATTCTTGTCCCAGCTGCTCCACTTCTGATCCCCCTCCCTGCTGATGGCCTGGGAACAGTAGCCAAAGATTGTGCAAGTATTTGGGCCCCTTCCACCCATGTGGGAGACCCAGATAAAGCTCCTGGCTTGGGGCTGGTGCTATGACGTAGCGGGTAAAGCCGCTACCTGCAGTGCCAGCATCCCATATGGGTGCCGATTGGTGTCCCAGCTGCTCCACTTCTGATCCAGCTCTCTACTATGGCCTGGGAAAACAGTAGAAGGTGGCCCAAGTCCTTGCACCTGTGTGGGAGACCTGGAGGAGACTCCTGGCTGCTGGCTTTAGATCTGTGCAGCTCCGGCTGTTGCGGCCAGTTGGGGAGTTGAGGAGTGAACCAGTGGATGGAGGACCTCTCTCTTTCTGCCTCTCCTTCTCGCTGTGTAACTCTGACTTTCAAGTAAATAAATAGATATTTAAAAGAAAAAAAAGTTCCTGGCTCCTGGCTTTAGCCTGGCCCAGCCCTGGCCATGCAGCCATCTGAGGAGTGAATCAACAGATGGAAGATCTCAGCATCTCTCCCTCCCTCTCTCTAACTCCAATTTTCAAATAAATAAAGAAAGAATCTGTCTTTAAAGATCAGGGAACACAGACCGCCTTTTAGAGGTTAGCACTGTCTGTCAATAACAGCTCTGTGTGTTAAATCCCCGTGGAAACGACTGAGGTTTCCGCCTCCTGCACCGCCTCCCGGGAACCTGCAGGAAGAGGCAGCAGTGAGACGCGTGTACCACTCTGCTGCCTCTTCCCATGCCGACTGCAGGGCAGGGACCCTCTGCCTCTGTGTCATTCCTTCCTTCTTCCCTGCGCAGGGAACATCTCTCAGCTTGTCCTAGAAGGGCATTTAACTCATTTCGCCAACGCAAACAGTGTTGCGATGCAATTGCCGTGTTTTTGAAATTAATCATTAGCTTTAAAAGCTTGTTATCCTGTGATAATTTAATAAGCCAATATGCTAACTTGGACCAGTAGGGATGAAAGTAAACCGAGGAAATGACTAGTCAGAATCAAAAGACTGAAT